TTTTTTTGATTTTTAAAACAAATTTTATTTCCATTTGTTTTAACTATACGCCGAAACAAAAAACAAAAAACATTACACAAATCAAATAAATAAACAGATTTTCACGTCTACCAAATAAATGTCATTTGAAAACGTTTTACCCATTTCAAAACATCATCTTTTACACACTTTAAAAACAAAAAAATTCACCTACCCTCTAAAACTTCAATATTAGAGAGTCATTTTCCCCCAGTGAGCACAGAACCTGCCCAACAGCCCACACATCCAGAAACCCCTGTAGATGATTGATCAGTGTATAGTATGCATGCTCCACCCTCAGACGCGCTGCCACCAGCCCCCTCAGACAGAGCACTGCATCCGTCCACCCTACTCCAGCAAGTTGGTTCTTCCTACTTTTCGAGATTGCTAATTTTGCATTAGCAAACAAGAAATTGATCAATAGTAGGATTTCCTTCTTTTTCAGGATGTATTTGGGGCCATGGACAAAAAGTGGTATGGAGAAAACCTCCCCGAACCAGAAGAAGAAGAAGAAGAAGAATTGTGTAGCAGAGTTTCCGTTAGCAGGTAATTGCCAGACTATGACCGGATATGCTGAAACTCAGTTAATGGGACTCATTTTTATATTGCTTCATGCAGAGCTGCGTGTCTCCGTCAGACTCAGCAGCTGACCTGATCTCTATCTCGCGTCCGGTTACACTTCACTCGCGTTTATGTCCATATCGATCAGATCCAGCTCTCCTGATCGGCCTTTATAGAGAGCACCGATCAAACTATTATGAGTGAATATCGGCCGATAATGATCGGCGGCCAATCGATCGGAGCATCCCTAATTATTACCGGACATTTAGACCGGCAGGTTTTGAATTTACCGGTTTTTAATACATTTTAACAGCTAGAAACCGCTAATTACCGGCTAACGGAAACCCTGGAACAGATAATGGCTGCTTTTCTACATCACATGGACATCAATATTAGTTTTGCTGTGGAGTGGAGAATGAATTCCTGTTTTCAATTTGTTCAATTTGTTCAGTTAAATACCCTAAAATATATTCTCCTTATCTGCAAGCTGCAACTGATTATAAAGGGACAAATAAAGGTTGACCTTTATTCTTCAGCTGTCAGACGGTGACTGGTTACCTTGTGCCGGGGCCGAGGGATGCGAGGCAGTCTGAAAGGAATCTTCCTGGCCAGCCGGCGCTCCATCACCCCGTAACAGAAGCAGGCCAGCAGCAAGGTGGCCAACACGATTGAGAGCTTAGCCTGAGGAAAGGGGCAAAAATAGGAAAATAATATAGTGTAAGTATATTGTATAGTTGGAAGCGTCGGAGGCTTTAGATGTTCATTGCCAAAACTATCCTGTAGCTATTGTGCATAGGACATATAAAGCTTTGAATCCTTTAAACTTGAGACACAAACACATTGAACTTTCTCTCAACACAAATCATACCCTCATAGGCATGTTGGACCAGAGGTAGACGATGAAGATGGCGATGGCCTGCCACCAGTGATAGATGGTGAAGACAAAGTCAAGACGCTCTTTTTCCTCACCGTACAGCATGCCCAGCAGAGCTGAGAGAGAGAGAGAGAGAGAGAGAGAGAGAGAGAGAGAGAGAGAGAAGTAAGGCTGACAATGTGTGAACAAAGTTACATACCAACACCTCGAACAGCACCAGCGTGACTCACTACTGACGCCCGTCTTGTTCAGGGCGCTGCCAAGTCCCCACAGCACAGAGATCGCCAGCAGAGGACCCAGATATGAAGGCGTCTTCGGGGTTGGAGAGAAAGCCAGGAGAGCCACCAGCAGCACTAGGTGCACCACGGCCCCCCCCACCAGACACACCCAGCGCGGGAGGCGGAGGAGGCAGAGGGAGAGGGAGGAGAAGACGGAGCAGGAGAGGCCGTACACGAGGATGAGGAGCCACAGCTTATCCAGGCCCAGAGCGCACACGCCATAGGACTGAGGAGAGAACCAGAACAGGCTGTTGGTCCCGGGTCACAGTTGCTTCATTTTAGAATAACATATATAAAAGATAAATAAACAAATAGAATGAAAATAAGAATAACCAATAAAAATATCAAATAAAGTAAAGATATTCAAATAAACATAAGAAGTTAAAGTAACCTTTGCAATTAAAGATAAAATAAAGTAAAAATGTGTATATCAACCAAAGAATTTAATTTAAAAAAAAGATCAAACTAAATACAAGTATTTACTTTAAACTAAAAGTTAAGGTAAGAATGTGCTTTAAAAAGATAAAATAAAAAAGAATGTGGGTGTTGTCCACAGTAATAACTGTTATGTCTAATATATGTAATTTGTAATGTAAAGCGCTTTGAGCACTTGGAAAAGCACTCTAATAAAAATGAAATTAATTATTATTATTATTATTATTATTATAAGCATAAGTGTGCAATAAAAACATAACATTCAAAAAAGGTAATTCAAAAAAATATAAGTTAAAGTCAAATGTCCAATAAAAGATCAAATCAACATCAGAAGTAAAAGTAAAATGTGCACATTGTACTAATATATATATAGATGTATATCACAATCCATACTGTGTTTAAGAGATTGAAATCTTATTGAATCTGTACTTATTTCTATAATGTGTCGGCTCCTCTGGTATCACACTATACAAATGAAGCAATGCGAGTAAAAGTGCAGTACAAGGGAGAATCCAGTGATGGCGAACATCTGCTCGAAGCCGCTGTAGATGAAGAAGGGGCAGAGCAGGCGCAGGCGGTAGTCCCTCAGGTGTTTGAAAGGCAGCTGGAAGATGTTTCCCCAGCCGATGCTGCGGAGGTCGATCTCTTCGGTGGGGCGGTAGGCGGCGCCACACAGCACCAGGAACTGTGGGAAGCAGCAAACAGCAAACAATTCACTTTAAATTGTTTTGAATGACTCGATACGTTTCAAGATTCAAGGCTTTATTGTCATGTGCACATTAGCTACAGTGTAGATATGGCAATGAGTCACAGGCTCTACAATATACTTTGGATCATAAGGCAAACTGAATGCAAACACGTTGTTGAATAAGCCTCTGTATCCACCCTAAGCCCTGCAACTACAGCTAGGCTGGGATAAATTCATGGGCCAAGCTACAATACTGTATATTTATATATCAACCCATTTCTACAGCCAGACTTCTAAACTGCTTTCAACCGGAGGATCTGAGAGTGTTTCTTCTACAAAAACAGACTCTTTCTCCATCTCCTATTGTCTCTAAATGTAGAATTAGATCAGCATTTAATAAAGTTGCTGTACTTTGATGATTCTTGCACTTTTAGTCGATTGAATACAATACGAGACGCTTTGGATAAAATTGCAGCTAAATAAATGAGATGGAATGATTGACTGGTTACCCAGGGATATGTTTTTAAACCCTGAGTGTGCCCTGACCAAAAAACACTTTGTTCTTAGTGCAACTCAAATATGTTAAAGGGGCCTATTCTGCTTCTTGGGGTTAATCTCTTCCCTGTAGTGTTTTCTATATAGGTTTGTGCGCATGTCAATGGTCTGCAAAGGCTAGGATCCAGAATTCCCTCCAGAGGGAATTTCTCTCCCACACACTCCGCCCCCTGCCTGAAACACCTCCATTGAACTCCTTTGTTTACCACCCTAACATAATGACATCACTATGTTATATTCACGTTTCTATTGGCTAGCGCTCCAACACATTGTACATAAAAGGCTTAGGGGAGGGACATCTCTAAGCGGTTGACCAATCACAACAGAGCAGGCCAGCCAACCAATCAGAGCAGACTGGGCTCTGGTTTCAGACAGAGGGAAAAAAGAGCTGCTGCAGCACAGGCAGTATGAGGAAAATAAAAATGTCACTGTAGAGGCACAGAATAGAAATATGGACCTGAAATGAGAATTATGTGTCCATTTTAATCAATTTAACCGAGCTTAAATCTGCTCTAATTCATATTTCTAGCAATGTATCAGTGAATGTTTCTAGTGTGAAAGATCTTGCTCAAAACTATGAACCCACAAAGAATTACCACCCAGCCCTACAAGTTCCCTCTGCTCTACTGAGCATTTTAATGTCTGGCTAATTTATTTTGGTTTTATGGCCCATAATAACGCTGCAGCCTCCCCCTCACTCTGGAACTCCCTCCCCAGCCACGTCAGATCCGCCAACACTCTCAGATCATTCAAACAATCCCTCAAAACTCACCTGTTCACTCTTGCCTTCAACTCCTAATCCACTAACCCCTTGCCCTTATTCCACCTAGATTAGCACTTTCTACTTTTGTTGTTATTTTGTTTTACTTGCTTGTAAGCGCTTTGAGCACCAGGAAAAGCGCTATATAAATGTAATGTATTATTATTATATGACTGTTTGGTTTTTCTATATATCTATATTAATACATATAGACATTGTGTCCTGTTAGTACATGCTTAGAAACACATCACTACAAAAATAGAACAACAATGGACAGTTTTGCCAATTTTGTCCAATTAGTAATCCTGCCTTGTTTCTGTTAAAGTAAGTCGGTAATTCTACAAGCAATTTAATAAAGGGGCAGTTATTAGTACTGCTCTTATGCTTCTTATTCATTGTTGTTTTAAAAGACAAATATTTAGAAAATGTGTTTGTTGGTCCTACAGCAGAAGTAAAAGCTTTAATTGAAGTAGTGTTGTACACAAATGTAAAGTACAAGGAAATCCAACAGTACATTGATTCTAGTTATGCAGTACATATCCAGATGCAAGTAAAACTGCAAAATCACTTTTGTTCTAAATCTTGTTCGGAATGTAAGGAATAGGATTAGGGCCATTTGTATATGATATATATAATTAGCATTGCTCCCTAACTGTCATTCCCTGGTTCTTTCAAAGAGAAGGAAAATGCAGGACAGACACAAGACAATCAGATGAATAAATGTTAAACAACTTAAAACACTGAATTCTAGGTGTGTGTGTTTGTAGGGGCCTTTGGATCTTACGATGATCATGGAGAGGAAGGCGAAGCCCATGAGGACGCTTTCCACTTGGATGAGCAGCATGGAGCGAGGCAGCCTACTGAGCACGGTGGTGTTGAACCCGGGGATCACACCTTTGATGTTTGCTCCTGTCATTAGGAAGAGGAGAGGGAAAACAAGCGTTCAATCCCACTCAGGATGCAGTCAGAGCTGAAGCCTGTAACACACGCATCTGTGATCTTTGGAAATAACCAAACACTAATAGTAAACGAATAGAGAAGCAGATCATATTTTTGAGGTGTTACCTCGCTACACTTCTACTTCCTCCTTTTGTTGAGAGCAATCAAAAAGGAAGTGATGATGCATGAAGTTCAAAATGATAAACATCACAGCTTGAGGAGAAGTGATGCGCCTCGCTAGTTTCAGAGCAGCTCTGGGAGGCCACTTCGAGTTTCATGTAGCACTTTGCTACATACTGAAGTAGAAAAGATTTATACTAGCCTAGCACTGCACTTCTACTTGTTCTCTTCCTACAGTACTGGTTTCTAAAAAATACGTTGGTCTAGCACGTACCGTGGGAAGACGTGAGCCATGCAAAACAGTAAAGTATAAGGGTGGAACTTTTCTCATCTATGAACATGATTAAGGAAAATAAAAACTGAGATTTTTTTTCTAAAGGGGGAGAACCACTGACCTGATACTAGTTGGTCTGGAACCTCTCAGATTGTTTTTCAGTTCGAGACATGGACAGATTTGCTTCTGGACGCAATAGAGAGTGCAGAAATGAGTGATTTAGCACTTCCACGTTTTTGGTTGTATTCGCAAAGTAAGGTTAAAGTTTGGTTATTACAAGCTCACAAGATGTTCATGTTTTGATCTACGACATCAAATGCAAACAAAACAAAAGACTGCCAAACTTCATTACGCAGAACCCAAGTCCACCTTAAGCTTAGTGGTGTTGACATTAAGTCATGCGAGCGTCAAGCAAGGATAAATAGTATTAGGTCTAAATACGTTTGAACATTTATTTTGTGAATCAGGGGTTTATTTCAGCCAAACTGAAGTTGGTGATTGTTAAAACAGCAGAGTTATATTTAACCTAGTTATTGTTTGTATTCTGTCAAGGTTGAATAAAGTGTGTTTTGATCAGCATGGTAAAATTCCTGTTTGCTCAATTAAGTCTGGTGGCTTTTAGGGGAGCACAGTAGTTATAAGTATATGTTTTCCCTACATTTAAAATTAGTAATGATCTAAATCCCCTTACTCATTTTCAATATAGAATATTGAATCAGTTCACATTTTTTTGGAGAGTTGATGCAAAATCAATATACCTAGTTGAAGTTAAAGAAACAACGGTAAATATCCAGGTGGGGAAAGCAGCTAGTTAGCTTAGCTTAGACAAAAAGATCTGTTTGCCTCTGCCCTTTTAAATCAAATAGTAATAAATATCTTCATTTGTACTGTAACTTTTTTTCTTGTCATTTATGTATGTCTTATTATATTTCAGCTTGTTTTTACTTTTAGCTTTGTAATGACTGTTTTGAAAAGTCATTTTATAATGTGATTCTTTTACACTATGTATTGATTCTTTAAATGTTTTAAGCACATTGTTTTTGAAATATCTATATCGCTAAACTTGCCTTGCCTTAAAGACTAGAAAAAGGGTTTAGAGAGTACAAAGCTTAAAAGCATCTTTCCAAATCTTTATACAAATCATTGGTCAAAATGGACTGAATTAAAAGTCCTAATACTTAGTCATCCTCAATTGCTGTTAGAAATTGTTCATCAATGGTGGGGATGTGACACTGTCCCTTACCGCAGTTATGGACATTTTTGAGGATGTGTTCGTTTTCTCGCAGGTAGCCGTTGAGGACGAAGCGCATCGGGAACTCAGCGAAGACAAAACTCAGCTGGTGAGGAGGAAAGAGCATTAGTTTCTGCAGCTGCTCAAACGTATCTTTCCAATGTTAAACTGATCATGACGTGAGAACAATCTTAAGTTCATTTGATAAAACGGCAGCATAAATGAGACTCACATGGAAGATGATGAAGAAGATGGACTGGAAGACGATGATGTAGCTGTGGCATGCGCCCTTAGGGAGCTTCTTCTGCTCCTGCACATGCTCTTCTCTGTAGTTCACATACTCGTAGTACTGCTGCGCCATCCTGCATGCCCATAAATTCAATCATTCATTTTATGTTCAGTAGGTGTGTGTCCATTTGAAGACTGTATACAGACTTACCTGTACACTTCTGGATGTGTTAGACATTTTGGAGCAAATTTCCAAATCTATTATCTGAGGCTACTGCGTCATAAAAACAGTGGTTGCTAACGAGTGACTTGTTGTCATGTCATCATTCAGAATAATAGCTGAGCCTTTAGCTTAACGGTGTCGATGCCAATTCATGTAGTTTGTGTATAGCCTATAGCATTAGCTTTTTTTACTTTTGGCGATTGGATTTACAGTTAATACATCCTAAAAAGTGGTGTCAATATGTTGAGATAATCCCGTTGAAGAAAACGTCTAAGTATCATAAATGTGTGTTAGCCACAGATCTTATTTTCTTCAACTTTCCCTAACCAATGGAAAGATCCCGGTGCTTTTAGTCGAGGCAGCCCTTGGTAGGCTCATTTCCGGGTCGGCCAACAAAAATAAGTCACCACTACACCACTCAATTGGGAAATTAAATAATGACTTGCACGCATGAAATATATATAGATTTCCATTATCTGTTTTTCTTCATTCATTTTTATAAAGGCTCTATATTCAACACATGGAAATAAAACAACGTAGATCGGTTTGGTGAATTGGGTTTCTAACGGCATTGTATCACAAACACAAAAGTCCCCAACACAGCACTGCACAACAAAGCCTCGCAAACTATTGTTTGGGCATTGCACTGATGGAAACAATAAGGTGTCACGGCTGCTGCTGCTGTCTGCTCGTTAACCTGTCTGGGATTGTTTTCAGCTGTGTATGTTATATGTATATGAGATGTGCCGTTGCCCGGAGGCCATTGGATGCCAGTTTCCTGTCCCTCCTCCGGTAGGCGTGACCGAAGATCTGGATTGGAGCAGGTCGGGCCCGACTCACCAATCCCTGCCCACATCTTCCAGGGACTCTTACAAGAGTGTGTGCATCTCAGTTAGACAGGAGAGGTCTGAATCTGTGTCGGACGTCTCTCGGTGCTCTCCTTACGTTCTGTGTCAGTTCTGTACTAGTTCTGCTACAGTGGTTAGTTAGGGTGTATGCTTAAGTGTGTATTCTGTGATTTGTGACGGCGTCGGCGTCAAACTTGCGCGAGACGCCTCACTATTTTAGCCTTAAGCGCCCATTGTGTGCTATGACTGTGATAATCTGTGGCCTTCGTTTTGTGTAGCGTTATTGTGGACAGATAGCTGGTTTTAAGAGCCTGTATTTTTGGTTACAGCATCTGTATTTTGAGTTTATTATTAAAATCAACCTCTTACCAAGAACACCTGGTTTCGTGTTGCTTTCCTTTTACCCTAAGCGAACTGGGGACGTAACAAAGGTATTGTTATTCCTACACCTCTTTGTGAACAGACATGAAAATGATTCACCTTCAGCAGCTGATGATGCTTCAGCTCCAGTTTTACTGACAGCACCTTAGCAAGGATTTTGAAAGTAAAAGCTCTCATTTCACTTGAAGATTTAAAAAAAACTATTGTCAAGTGTTTGTAATTCCACTTGTGATTGCTGTCCTTAATGTAAAACTAATGTTTTAAACTTTGCACATATCTCTATTAAGGGAGACTATTATGCAAAGGTCCAGGTTCATATTTTGTGCTCACTTTGACTGCTCACATGCTTGAGAGACTCTTGTTAAAAAAAGGATTACATAAACAAAAGTCTGTTAGTTAAGAAAGTTCCATCAGTGATGTCAGATTATTTTTTTGTAACTACATTACATTACATGTTACTTGTTAGACGCTTTTATCCAAAGCAACTTACATACTCAATACTGTGGACAATCCCCAAAGGAGCACTTTGGGGTGAAATGTCTCAGGTACACAACGACATGCTGACTGCAGAGGGGTTTGAACCTGTGTTCCCCTGATCCAAACACCAACGCACTAACCCACTGCGCCACAGCCTCCCTAGAGCAGTGTTTAAAGGGTTGTTTTGGTTTGAAATCCTGTATTATTTCAGGCAATTGCTTTAACTGTACAGTATGTTGCAATTTTCCTAGATTGTCTCAAATCTCCCTTATGTTTGTGACTTGATTTTTTGGCTACCTTCATTGGATGTGAGGGGATAAAAGTTCCTAAATTATATAATTGAAGCGTTGATGACCATTAGAAACGCTCAATATTAAGGATCATAGTAAGATTTATGGTAAAGGTCAAAGTGTAGTTATAAAGACATATTTAGGGTTTATAGAATTGAGGTCCACGTGTACACAGTACTGCACTCACAGTGAAATATAACCTCTGCATTTCACCCATCCTAGAATTACGAGCAGTGGGCAGCTATTATAAAGCAGCGGTGGGAACAAAGGCCTTGCTCAAGGGCAACTTGGCAGGGCCACAGGTTGCCAACTGGTACCTCTCTGCAGTGAAGGTAAAACCGACAATCAGAAACTGGTCATCAGTACTCGTCTGAGTACTTCAACATGACGTAGGTCCAGCCTCCGCCTCTTATGTTACATCTTTATCCGCCCACCCTTCCACATCCACTTGCTCACCTTGTAATGTAATTTCCCAACGAGGCCCAGAGCGGCACGATGGCCACGCCGATAGCCACGGCCGATGGGACCAAGGTGTAGTACCGCTCCCAGTAATTGGTCGACACAAAGAGTGCGTAGATCCCTGAAGCGAGGAACATCATCCACTTTGTACCTAGAAACCTTCCGGGGATGTAAATAGAGGAAATATTGCTGTTATAGAGCAAGGACATTCAGTTACAAAAGGAAAGGTTTTATCATTTGTGCGTTTGCTACCTGATAAGTACGGGGGTGTACAGCAGACCTATGATGGGCGTGACGTTGATGCCCATCAGCATCTTGTGATCGATGTCCTCCAGGCCAAGGTTGCTGTACTTCACTTCGCGGTAGGTCATATCATAATGGAGTATTAGCTGCATCTGCAGTAGACCTGTAGAGAAAGATTTAATAGAACTATGCTCTTCTTCCTTCATCCAATTATGTATTTTGTTCCATACTGACCCATGTACACACTGTACAGAATCATGGCTCCAACACTGGCTGCAAGGACGTTCTTGATGACTCCAAGCCTCTTCCTCCTGTAGTACTTCCTCTCCTCCTCCTCCTCGTTGTACTCTGCTTGTGGGCCAAGAAACTCCTTTATTCAAGAAGAAAAAGGAGAGGTGAGGGGGGTTTGGTTGGTAGTATTTAATCACATCTTTCTCTGGAAACACTAGAACTGGAGTTTTCCCAGGAAAACGTACCTGCTCCTGTGCGTTTTCTTCTTGGTCCACATTCAGCAGTTCATTTATGCCGCCATTGGGAGGCGCTACAAACGGATCAGCATCCCTGATCAACACCTCTCGATCAGCTGCCTCCATCTAGTGACCAAAACCGGCAGTACTCTGGATTATTACTTGTTTACTGGACCAAACGCAATCAATGTGTTTGTGTCATTACTCCCATTATGCTTCTGTAGAAACCATCTTCAGTTCATACTCATGAGAATATAGTCAGAGGTTTTTTGTTGAATTATCACAGGTCATAAAAAAATCACGATACATTCCAGATAAAATGTAAGGCTGGATAAATCTGGATTATCAATATAATTACTCTTTTAAATTGTGGACTTTTAATGTTGCAGTAAATAACATGGGCAGCAGTCATATTTATAATGAGACTACTTCATTTGAAGTGCTTATTTTTAGTACTTAATTGTTTATTCTATGACCGCGAGATAAGGGCCGGCTATTACTGTTTGTTATGTGAGTTTTTAGCTACCTTATTTGGATAACAAGGGATAAAAGTACATACATGATATTTGGAACTTCTTTGAGTTAAGAAGTCTCTTCAATATTGTAAGCATTGGGTTGAAGTATCTTTGAAGCCTTAACACCTCGGACGTTACAATATTAAAGGTTATGTTTGGGCTCAGGGAAAATGCTTATTTTTGTATTTCTGGGACATATTCAGTGGTACATTCTCTTGTCGTTGACATTAATTTCTCTATTTTTCTCTCCTAAAGAAAATGTTTTAGATAAAACGTTCCTCTAAAGAAATAGAAAAAACAAATACTTTATGAAAGTGTGTTATTTCTAAATCAATTCAATTGTATTCGTTTTTTGATTAAATAATTCTTGTTTTACGTTTGTTTGTTTTTTACTTTCTTTAAGTTAGTGGAAAGTCCAATGTTGTGGCTATTGACCCCTCATGTTACAGTTCTTTTTATTTCATATCTAGATTGTATGCAGTTTTACGTCAGTGCAAATAAGACAATAAAAAGGTACAAAAAGACACTATATCTAGCAACGTGATTCTAAGTGATGTTCTGAAATGTTCTTCAGTGCAAATCAACAAACATGACCACATTGGTATAAAAGAGGATATAGCCCATAACATGTTCTCCAAAATGTTAGCAAGACATAGCATTGACATTTCAAGCTTTATTTTAGGGGCATTGAACTATCCTCGTCTAGATTTAAAATAAAATCCACGTTGTGTGCTCTTTCCCCCCAGCATTGCCTTTAGAACTCGTGTAACGACTTCCTTTTAATCCTGAACGTAACAGTGGAATAATGAAAGGTAGGTCAAAGAGCTAAATTATATAAATGATTGTACTGTCTGGTATGAAACGATGCTTTGGTATAGTTTTGCATACCTATAGCGACTTCTGCAGTAATAGTAGCCTAATGCAGCATTGCAAACAGCACACGTCATCAACACATTTTAGGTTTATTATTTAAAAAGACTATTCTGAAATACCAAGTGTGCTGTAACTCACCTAGCATACTTACCTAACGACAAGCCTCATTTTTACAAACACCTTGAACATCACTTACCGTGTTTCTCGCGCGGGGCTCCTTGCACCGGTCTGAAACGTTATTCCACCTGCAACATAGAGACGACAGACCCTCTCCTACCCTGGGCCGCTTTTGTTTCAGCAGCTGTCAGTTCCCCTTTCTCATGTACAACGTGCAGGTATAAATAAGTTTAGCGAAGGAAACGAAAGTCTCCACTTCCTCACCCCAATCTGCTTGACGGTCTGTCTTAAAGGTATAGGCACATATTTAGGAAACCCAGACCTCTGAGTGCTACCGTAACAGTAGTGAGACATGAGGCAACTTCAATGGCTAAGAAATGTGAAGGAAAAATTAAAAATACCCTCATGGCAAAACTTTTGTTGTTATGATAATAGAAATTTTTATTTGAGTACTTAATAACATCAACACACTGTGTAGCTTCAACAATATGTAGCAAAAAGCTGCCACAGTGGTGAGCACGTGAACAAAAAAACATCACAGTCAAAATATGGTCCTCTCACATAGTGCACAATACAGTCTACACAAGCATGACAATTATGAGTTCAGTCCATCTTCAACACACGTCCACGTTAAGCCGGAGTGATGCAGCTGTCTGCATTGGAGATATTGTTGAGCCAACAAAGCACCATCCAGCCCTGGCAGTCAACTTTATGCATAGCGTCTTGTTTAAAAAGACATGATTCTTTCAGTGCTTGTTCTGATCCATTCATGTATAAATTACTGTATTTTTAGGTGTTGTTCAAAACCTTGTCTGCATAACAGACAATGTACGATGTTGTGTAGCAACATTTTGACCCCTGTTTATTTTTACCCCCTTTGAAAGTTGATTTTTAACCATGTTCAAAGGGTGATTTGGAAAACGGGGACTAAATGCAAATCATTCCTAGTGTATGTTTTAACCTGCCACAAGTACCAGACGGTTGGTGCCACAAAACTTCAAATTACTTGAGTTTCTTCAGTAGAAACAGCACCCTTCATTTCGGAGCAGCTAAAAACTAGCACAAAGTATGACTTTAGAAATAATATCCTTTTCTTCTTTCCAGTTATTTTTCATGCGATATTTTGAAGGACCAGGCAAAGCTGAATATACACGAGGCTGGTGGAGAAGTTTCAAGATGTCCTCATGCTGTCGTTCCACCAGATCCTTATCCTCTACTGCAGTGGAGGAAGTAGTTTCTCTCACTGGACCCTTATAGTTCTATGCTTTTTGATTTCCAACCCCAACCACTCATTAAAACAAGTCTCTCACCTTAGAGAAACCAGATATGGTGACCCCATCCCGTAACTTTTAAATCCCCCAAAATGCTCTACTTCTTTCCGTTTAAAAGCGTCTCTATTCGCTCCCTACTGCTGCCTTCCTCATAATTTCCTCGTCCTGGACGGAGAGCTCTGTCAGTTTACGTCCTAGCTTCTCGTGGAGGTCTAGGTATTTTGCCACACAGCGGTCCAGGCACACCGACTCCCCCTTCGTCAGCTCCGCCTCCTTGTAATGTGGCGGCACACACTTCCGGTGGCAGGCGTTGGTCATTCTGGGAATACATGGGAGTCAGGAGACAGTTAGATTTGTAAAAGACATTAAACATTTTTTATTAAAGCTTGTGTGCAAACACATAATAATGCCTGAACATCTTAATATGATGTCCCACCAATATTAGCAGATAGTTAATGTCACTTGGCAAACAAAACAGTTCCATCTGCTGGAACTAAAACATTTCTTTAGATCTTGAGCGCAACTTTTTTGACCAACTACATTGCTTACAGGGGACATAGTATGCTTGTTTTCAGATTCACTCTTGTATTGGTGCTTGCTACTAAAATGTGTTTGAGGAGTGACTGCATGCTTTTGCCTTGAGAAAAAGCGTAGCAACCAGACTATTTCTGATCGTTCAGCAGTTATCGTGCGATCGTTCCTAATTCTTCTTGTTAAAAATATTACACTTTTTAGGAAAAGGGATGGTGATATCAAATTGGAGAAGCTTGATTTAGATTTCAGATTCATAACAAAGACAGATTGAGCTATTTTACTATTAAATACTTGCTTTGTATTTGCAGTGTAGTACTTTTCATAATAATAATACTAAGTATCATTGTGTATTTAATAATATTAATAATAATCATTAATACTGTTATGTGTTGAAAGGTGTTATATAAATAAACTTGCCTTGATCATAATTGAAGCCCTACAAATTTAAACTGCGGTTTATTACAGAAACACATAAATGATATCCAATATTGAGACGAGATCAATGCTGTCAACTTAATTTAAGGTCATGTGTTACTGTCGTTTCATACATTCCGTGATTTTTTTATTTTATTTTTTTTTTTTAATAGGACTTTCAGTCGTTCAACATCGATCAACTGTTCGTTTCAATGGTGGCATGCATGTTCCAAACGAGTTGCTAGATGTAATATTACAGCGTGTGGGCTCTGCTGAGTACCAATTAATCTGTCACATGCACTGCAGTCAGTCAACAGTTATTAGGTAGCTAGCGTCATGTAGGGACTCTTCATGTGCAGCTAGGTCAAAGCTGGCTAACATGAAGGTGAGCCTTTGTAACTGCAACACGACAAGTTTAATAAAAACTACGCATGAATGCCAGAAGACAGTTTAATACTGTCATAAAGCTAGCATTAATGTGTTAAAGCTAGCTTAATGGCTAACTTGTATTGGCTTACCGGTTGTACATGTCTGACATCATTTCCACCTCCAGCTCCGCCGCCAGCTGCTGCGCCTTCATGGGATCCATGTCTGCTCCTCAGTGCTGCTGTCCCCGGCTTGAAACACAAACACGTCGCCCTGGTGATCCTCTGCAGTGGACAGACGACAAGAAACTACCCGGTGCTTCTTCTTTAACCTTCAAACCTGCAAAGAAAACACGTGTGTGACGTTTCCGCTCGCACTTCCGGTGTCAATAAAGTTGCATTCAAACTGAGAGCGGAGACAGTGCGCCCTCTCCTAGCTTTTCTGTACATTTCCAGATTAATATATAATTTATAATTCATATTTATTCTGACACTATCACATTTAAAATCATGAAATATAAAACTGCTAACTCATTAACTTACTATGTGTTTTTTTGTGTTTAAAAAAACCTTAGTAAAGTCTTACTGTTTATAATGTACAACAGTCCCTGAGCACTCAAATCATGTATTTTGATTGAATGATTATTATGTAAAAAAAACAGACACGCATGAAAATACACTTTTTTTAATAAACCATAATTATGTAATTTACACAACAGTCAGTCTGAAAATTCTAATTTCACTGAAAATATCAAATTAAGATAGATGTGAACAACACTTTGTTCTCTATGCAATCAATACTTTTGCATAATATTAATAGAAACATGAATAAAATAATATAAACATATTTTAACCTTGTATATTGAACTTAACAAAAGGTCAAACCCAGAAGTGTTACTCCCATGTATACCAACTGACTGGTAAAACGTAAAAAAGGACAATACAAATCTGTTGTATAATACTTCACAGCAAAATTCACTCAAGTCTGGCATCTCTGTGAACATACACAAACAAAGAGAACAAAGGGCTTTGCCCACAAGTGCTGAACCTGTCACAACATAGCCAAAAAACTATGCTCAAATAAAAATTTTCACTCTGCCTCATCTCCAGTTACATCAACATCGTTCACATCTTCCTCCTCTTCTTCTTCTTCTTCCTCTGTAGTTATTTCAATGTTGTGAAGTCCGTTCAAACACTCTCTGCTCGGAGGCAATTTGTCTGGGGAGTAATGAAGGATGTCCACCTCCACTTCCTCCTCGACCTCCACTTCCTCCTCTTCTTCATTTTCTTCTTGATCGCAGCCTGAGGTTTTGCAGAACCCGACAGTGTCTGAAAGAGGGGGGGCAGTTCTCTTGGGGATCTGTGGGTTTAAATGAGTTTTGTTTTGTTGAGGCAGATGGGTGTCGCTGTGCGACGAGTCTTCATTGTTGAACGAAGTCTGATGTGTATCTGGCACTCCTGCATCATGGGCTTTTAGAGCTGAAAAAAAAAGAAACCAAGGTGGTTTATCCAGATATTTTTGAGACATTTTTAGGGGAAATAAACTAGTACATTATTTATATAAATGTGTTGATATCAGCCTTGATAACATTTAGCCCATCTTTTCAAAGAATAGTTTGAACACTTAAAAAAACCATCTTTTGATCTTTACGATTAAAGACTCCATTGTCTTAACAGTAGCAAAGCCGTCAGTGGTGAAATTGAAAAATCGAATGAAATTAAAATGTAACAGAAAAAAACTCAAACATATAGAAGAAAAAACTATATTTTTTATAATATTTGAAAATAAACAAAATGGCAAACAAATTTTATGAAATTCTCAGATTTAGTCACTAATGTACAGCTAAAATGGTCAAAGGTTTTCATCAATTCACTTTGCAAGTTTGGATCGACCTCATCGCACTAAAGAGAGGCAAGTGTTTGCTAATTGTTCTAAATCCGACTACAAAGTCAATTTGATTACGTTAAACCAATCCAGATATTACTCACTGCAAGAGGCAGAATCTGTGGTGTGGAGAGTTTGATCCAACTTTCAAAAGCGAAGGGGAGGGGTTCCTTGACAATTTTATTTTCTTGACTTTCTCTTGTTATTCCCAACTTTAATCTCCGAAGAGTTTTGGGTTATTTCCTCATACATTTCGGACTTTATACATTTTAATCAAGTTTTTTGCTTGTATTTTCTGAATTACCTCTTTAAACATATAAAACTCATACCTTGTTGTTTCTGAGTTTCTTCTTGAAAAATTAACCCCTAACTATGCGACAAGGTTACATATTCTCATTAGTATGTTGTTTTCCAACCTAACCAATAATTGAAATTGTGAAAGTAGCTTTTCCCTATCTGTTCATACTTCAAATGTTTTACTCTGACTGTTAACAATGCAAGGGCGTGAACATCTTTCAATTACAAGTAAAGGGAAAAAAACACACTACCTTCATCAGGATTCTTTTGTGGATGCTCCCTCTCAGCTGCTACCTTGGCCTGGTCTTCTCTTAAGAACTCAAAGGAAAACACGGGAGGGGGCTCATCCCCAAACAAACCGGTCCCGTTTGCATCATTTCGCCGTGATTGGCCACACTCTTCTGTTGACTTGTGGAAGATTTGATTGTGATTTTCATCAACTGGGACATTGAAGACGTGAGACTCCTTAATCCCATCCTTGTTCTGAGACTGAGCATTGTCCATTTTAGTCAATTTTTTTGTTCTGCTCCTGCATTCCTTCCCTTCACTTTCAACATCTCTTGAGGTTCTGTTTGTTTCATTTTCCTGGCTTTCTTTTGACCTGCTTGTTTTTGAGTGTTGTTGTCTGATAAGCTTTTGAAACTGTTTCAAATTGACCATCTTTCGCTTTTGGGTTGTCTCACATTGTCCTCCTGCTGGGATAACAACATTGTTATCGTCTACTACGGCCTTGACGGTGTTCTCGTTACTTCTGGTCTTCTTCAGTGGTATTGCAGCCACTTTATTTTTATTCCTCTTCCATTTTCTAGACCTTGGCTTTGTTTTATCTTTCACCCCCTCCGCAAAATTAATGTCAACTTGCGGTTCTCCGTTGAGATCCTGGCTGATTTTTTCAACAGCGGTAGGAGAGCTCTGCGGTGGACTTACAACTTTTTTATTCCTTGGCCTTCCGCGTCCCCGCTTCACAGGTTCTCCTTCTTTATTCACAATCTGAGCTATACAGGCCTTCGGTTTTAAAGCTGAATCTTCTATGCTTGATTCACTAGGCGTCTCTTGAGTTTTTTTTAAAAAGCCCCTGGTCGGGATCCTTGTCCGTTGTTCAGTTTTGAGATCCCCGGACCCTCTGGTTCCCTCTCTCAGATCTTCTTTGATGGTTGACGGTTCATCTGGTTTCACTAAATCTTTGTTAGAATGATCGGCCATTTCTCTTTCCTTCGTCAGCACATTGTTGCTCGACGAACTAATGCTCAGGTTTGTCTGCTCTTTGGTTCCATTATTGACTTTCACGCATTCCAATGACAAAAGAGAACTGGCTTCTTGTTGACAACTTTTGTGCTTGCTCTTCCTCCTTTTAGGCACTTCAGCATCGTCTATCGTGACATCTTGTACTTGTTTGCATTTCAAACCTCCCGTTTTCTTCCTGGAAGAAGATTCTTGTTCTGCCACATTTGGAAGACCAGCAGATATTACTCCAATGTCTTCAACCCTCTTCCTCTTTTTCCTGGAATCAGATCTTTCTTCTGCCACATGTGCAGGACCAGCAGATATTGCTCCAATCTTTTCAACCTTCTTTAAACTTTCCTTCATTATCCTGGGATCAGATTTCGGTTTTGCCACATTTCCAGGGCCAGCAGATATTGCTCCTCTGTCCTCCACCTCATTCACAGTACAAGATGCGGCCCGTGTTTCGCAAATTTGAGGATTTATCTCCAGATGCCACCAACCGCTGCCGTTTGTATACTGTGGTACAGATGAACTTTTATTTGGTTTGGGATTGATGGCACTAAGAGGATATTGTAGTGGTCTGGGGTTATTTATGAGCCAAGGTCGCCTGTCTAACGTTGTATGTGGCTGGATATTACTGCTTTGGTGCGTTGAGCTGTTGATGGTAGGGAGATCTAACGGAGAGAGACATGTAGGAAGCCGCAAATCATCCATGGAAGGTAGAGGATGCGAGGAGGGCGCCTCATTTCCATTTGTCAGGGGTAAAAACTCAAGGATGTTCGGATTGCCTTGTGCAGACAGTTCCTGGCATACCGGGTAATAGGTAAGGGCAGTAACAGTTTCCTGTCCACTGGAGTATAGAGCTGTGGGTATGACTGATTGTGTTGTGGGTGCTTCAGGATATGGACAATTTTGAGCTTTGGGCATTGGCGATCCATCTTTTCGCACCATGGCTGTGAAGGGCGGGGGATACTGAGGAAAGCGCTGCTGCTGGATAAGCAAAGAAGAGGGCTGTACAGATGAAAGGCTTGAGCAGTTGGGCTGGTTCTGTGCTGTTAAACAATAGATACCTGTACGACAGGTAAGAACAATGTCATTAATTAATCTTGAGTGAGAGCAAACAGGAAAGCAGAAGCAGATGTGAGGAAAACAACAACTTAAGTCAATAGGGAAAAAAGAGTCTCTTTTCATTTGTATCTCTTCTGTTCAATCCACTAGAGATAATTATACAACGTCATGGGGTCTGGAATGAAGCTAAGTGGTCAGTGGATGTGGTGTGAAAACATTTGGCGATTTTGTTTTAATGTTTGTTTCATAACAACGGCCTGTATATTCACAGTCATACATTTTATGAAATAAGGGATACCTAACTATAACTAGATTAATACAGGTTAGGGCTGTCCCGAATACCATTTTTCGGGCTCCGGATATTTGGTAGTAATCAGCAGTGAATATTCGGCCCGCGCGGGGGGGGTCAGCAGCGAACCGCTTCAACACGTGTATTTCGGGTTTATTCACGGCATTAATTTTGTTATTCTACAGTATTGTTGTTTTATAGTTATTTGTTCATGTATACAACCCAATTTGTGTTCTTTGAAATTGAAAAGGATATTGCATTGTGTTTGTTACTTTCGTTGCAGTTGTATATGTCTTAAGTGCAATTTGGCTTGGCTTCCTATTTTGTATGGACATGCTTTTATTTTGAAGGAGAGTTAGCGCTGTTGACAGGAAGTCGTTGTTGCTGTGGAAACAACGTGACGGAGATTAACAGGGAAAAAGTAATATCTACATATAAAGACGGAGAAAGTAAACGATAACATTTATGGTTAAGTGTTAGCACCCCCCGAAGAGGCACAAGCTCTTACGTTGATATTGGAGTTTTCAATAAATTCTATTTGACAGCCGCAGTGCAACGAATATCCGAATAACGAAATCCTAATAGTACGGCCCTAATACAGGTAAAACGAAAAGATATGGGTTTTTTTTCATCTTGGGGTAAACCGTCTGTTTAACCCTAAAATGTATCATTGAGACAATAGATTGGTGCAGAGATGAGTTATAAAACCCGGAAATTAGTTACCACTTGACTAATTTGGTTCCATTGTAATGAATTCAACCTTTTTTTTTACGTGTTTATGGTTATGATAATATGTGGTTAACACAAGCTGAACAGATTATAATGTGTTGTTCCACAAGATAAAATATGTCAGGAAATGCCCCCCTGGTGAAAGTCCAAAGCTTCTATGTGTCGTAAAAACAGCAGTTGCTAACAAGGGACTACATGTCACTTGTACATTAGCTCAGGGGTTCCGCGGCCCGGTACCGGTCCGCGGAACCTCAGCTGTGAGTTTATCGTAATATTTGCAGAATTATAAATATTTTAAAATATTTTATCAAAAAGATAATAACTTTTTTCTTTTTTTTTCGCACCTATACCAATTATATTATTTCATCCAAAACGTACAAAATTAATTAAAATTGGTTAGCATAAGGTCTCAGCCTCTCGTGCAAAGAGAAAGTTACCGGTGCGCCAATAGGAAGTGGAGCACACAGGAGACAACCGTTTAATCGCAGACTGTTATGTCTATGTGGGGAAATGGCAGTGCATACATTATTTGAGATATATTTCAAACTCGGACTTCATTTTAAGGATATGTCGGCCAGGGGTGTAGAG